TTTTTTCAATATACATTAAATAAGTATATGAATAGTTCTCTCATAAAAACACTTAACATATCTAATAATCCTAATCAGCCAGACTGTTAGTATATTCAATAAGCATAACAATACCTCAACTGCCAAAACTGAAAACAACGCTGCAACAATGACTTCTCTTGTCAGTACTCAAAAGCTTCCCCGGATTTCCCTTAAACTATAATCAGAAGGGATTCACTTACTACAGATTCAACCGGACAGAGAGGATTTGCCTAAGAGCATCTCAGGCTCCCAGCTTACTGGGTCCTAAGGATCTTCCAACTCCTAAAGTTGCCTATGTCCGGTTCGAGGTCCTCTCCTGTCAGCTGAGTGGGAGGTTTGTGATCCCAGACAAGCCCAAAAGATCTGAGGAAGTTGAAAATACACAAGCTCCCAAAAGCCACTGAGAGTAAAAAGGTAAAAACAACACAGTGTGTCTTCAGATTTCTTTTTATTTCTTATAATCAATCAAAAGGAGAGCCTATCCCAATCCAGAGAACAGTGTCTCTCCAAACAAGAATTACACAACTCTTCTTACAAAAGTCTTCATTTCATTGGTTAGCCCACAAATAATCTGACACACCCCTAACCTACCCTCTGCTGACATACACATTTCTAATTGGTTCCCCTTCCCTAGGTGTCAGCTAAGCGTCCACTCAACGTCAACCCATGAGCCCTTGATTACTGCATAGCAATGATTCTCTTATTTTCTGTTAATCAACTGGTGCAAACACTGGTCTTGTAGTCAAAACCTTCTTTCCTCCATGTCCTCCAACCTTAGTCAGAGGATAGTCACTCTAGCAACCATCTCCACCCACTGTGCTTAAGCAGTTATCGCCACATTCTCTGAGTCACAGTATCCCATCAAAACAAAGACAGAACCACCTCCCTACCTTTACTAAAATTACACTTCCAGCAAAAAATGAAGCAAATAGTAAGTGTTGAAAAAAATGCAATCTGGTCTAAAAATACTCCTGAAATCACTAAATTACTGATACTAACCACTAAAGGTTTTTCTAGGACTGCAAAACTACCACTAAGGGATATAATAGATTGAAAAAAAATTAATAATTTTCTTTCACATTTCACTTCTTTCATTTTTATCTTTATACCAAATTGTTTTGAGTTTAGAATCTATATTTCACAATGTCACATTTCAGGAGGGAATGAAAACCAGTTGACAATTTGGCCTGGTATGGATTCTAACTTGCACAGTCAGGAGTTCCCCCCCCCCATCAAAAAGATTTTAAAACTTTCTCCACAGATTTTTAATGTAACAGCAAAGTCACATATAATGCATATAATGAATTGTTTACAATAGATATGGTTCTTAATATATATGTTTCAATATGTAACATATGTTCTTTTGAACTACTGAAAGAGCTACACAAACCTTACTGTCCAATACCAACATAACACATATGCCCATTATACAAAAGCAGAATGAATCATCAATGACCAATAAATCATAAACAGTAACACAGATCAACTTTCAAATAATAAAAATAACAAATGAATTGGCTCCACCTAAATTATGCTAATAATAAAATCTCTCTGCCATGACACACTTCCTCATTTCCTCTTGTTTGAAAAGTCAAAGTTTGCTTTGCTTTGTCCCAGTACAATGCAGACTTAAATTAGACTGGTCGCCTTGGCAAGGAACTAAGCAAGACAAGAAATCTGCCAGCTCGTTCACTGGGCAACAGATTTTAATAAAACCTTGGTGGGGCTTCTTCTCATCCAGCTCACCAGTTCAGCAATAAAGTATTCAAGTGTAGTGTAATCAAGATTACACCTTTTCCCCAGTCCAAAAATAGATACTTGGCTGAACAAGGTCTGTCAGCGATTTCTTATGAAACGGCTTGTCCACGAGAGATTTCAGGTCAAGGTCGCACCTTCCCTGGGTGATGTTACAAGGCAGAGCACTTGCTTTTAAAAGTAAAACTAAATGGCCATTATTTGACCAATAGGAGCAACCTGCAGCTCCTAAGAGTGCTGTGGGGGGGGGGGGGGGCATCATTTGTGGTCAGTCTGACCAGGACTCACAGTTTTCCCTAGGGAGCAGGGAATGTGCTTAACATCCATCAACAATAATTGCTTATAAACAACTACTGAATTTTTCACCAATACTGTTAACTAGTCTCAGGCCCACAAAAAATGAATAAATCTTAATCTTGGCTGACCCAGTGCTTTCTTCATAAGAGTGGCTTTAGGGGGCTTTTTTGGAAGCTAAAACCCTCCAGCAGTGCATATTGCAGTTTCCAGTTATGTTAGCACAAAGCATCATTTAAAGGAGGCCAAACTGTCATTGTGATATCATCAATATAACCATCATTGATTTTATCAACATGCAATGTACACTTTATACTATTTCCAGATGCATCTATACACTGATCTTCCAAAGCTAAAAATACACTTTTATGACATTAATTCTCTTGATAGTACATTTAATAAAATGGTAAATGGTAAATGGACTGCATTTATATAGCACTTTTCTACTCCTACAAATACTCAAAGCGCTTTACAATTCACCCATTCATACACACATTCATACACCGATATGATTGTTTTACAAATGAATAGAAAAACACATTAAAGACTTCAAAAATTGAAATAATGTATATATAAATGCATGCTTATTAACCGAGAAACTGAAATGTCACAGCTTCCTTTCAGCAAAACAAATAGGTTAAGTGCCCATTTGTTTTCCCCTCCAACTCACCTGAGATAGGTGACCTTAAAAAAGCAAGAAAATATGATATGAACAAATTAATTCTGACAGGCGGTTATTTATAAGTTAGAGTACATCTGGGAATGCAGTGATGAAGATCAGATTGACAGTGGAGAGAAGGGAGGACTTTCTGACAGCGATAACATTATCAGTCACTAAGGCGGATGGCTGCACTTGACAAATGCATAGACAGCCCGCAGAGACAACAGGAGGTGGGAAGTCATGCAGAAACATACCAGAGCACTGCTCGACTCACCTATAAAAAAAAAACAGTAAAAATGACAGCACTAAACCCAAAAAAATGCGCAGGCCCGTCACTGCCAAATGCAAACTGCTAATATTAGTACTGCTTTATTTGGCCTTTCAATATAAATCCTAATCTTCATTCATTAAAAAAATCCATGCTACATATCACAATGCAAATATGATCCTCAATAAACAAACTCCATCCCCCCCCATTAGTAAACATGCTTAATTTTTTTATACAGTAACTGTCAACAGAAGGACAGCTATTGTGTTTTTATTTGACACATATTATCCTTCATCACTGTCTTCTTACAACACAGCCACACTCAAAAATCAGTTAGTAGGTATTCAAATCTGCTCGCTACATTCATCAAACATCCGGCAAACAAGTTTCAAACAAATCACGAGATTTTCTTAATACTTTACAAGAGATACACAGCATTTATTTTTGTTACCTGTTTGATGTTCATGTTTAGCCTCTATCAATTAATGTAATGGAGGAGCATTGTTGAGATTTCAGTGAAATTACTGCTTATAACTGGCTCTGTACACATCACAAAACAATCCCATTTTGCGAAAATACACATACACAATTCCAGGGATCTGAAAATTAAAGCTTGAGAGTACAATATAATTTGTTTATACATTTCAGTGTAAGTTCAAAGTTTTATTTTAATCTTCAGTCTAAAAAAACAAATCAAAGCAAATTAAAAAACACTTAAAAAGCACAACCCAGATATGTCTGCAGTTATTTCTAATCACACTTTCAGAATGAAACATGTATATGGCACATTTATTTATTATTGCTTTATTATATAAATAACAACATAAAAACTATGTTATTTGAGTTTTTTTTTTTTTTTTTAAAAAAAACCTTTTGTCAATATGAAGTGCTATTTCAGCACAAGCAAAAATGGAGTAATTATCATTACTGTAAGGAGAGATCTATAAAGGAGACCGCAGTTTTACTAAGATAAAAGGGCACAGATCACTTCCCAGGCAGTGATGCAACAGTGTGTTGCCCTTTCTGTACGCGAGAGCATTCAGTGAAAACAAGCTGAATTCGCATAGGCCAAGGGCATACCAAAGAAATCCAAATATTAGTCCAGAGAGTACTGCACTATAAAACAGTCAAGTTCGTCAGCTATAATGAAGGTACTAAGCACTGTTTTGACAACAAAAATCAGGTCCCGCAAGCAAAATTAACCTCAGTGATTATTACGAGGCTTTGGTAGTAAAATAAGTCAATAAGAAAATCGTCATTATAAAAATGCTGGACAATGAAGCACGATACAAATTCATATCATGATCTGAAAACATTATAGAACATTTTGATAGCTGAAATGGGGTATTCCGTTTGTTTAAATTACACCTCAGTTTTGTTTATTAATATTGCATCCTGACCAGTACACATGTTTGCAATTGGTATGAATGCCGCAGGGATTACTGGAATGTTTACAACCGGTCAATCGTAGTCAAATGGTAATGTTTAGCACTGGTAAACACGAATGTTTGTTCTTATGGTGCACAACTCAACGGAATGAAATGTGAGCGTTTTTGACTTATCATTTACATCTGTCAGACTTGGAAGCACTTCGAACAAAGCATTAATGGAACAGGGGTAGCACTGCAAGATAGTCGAACTTAAGCTTGCACTCGCGATTTTAATTTGCTTTCAAATTAACTTAAGAGTTTTCAGGAAGAACAGTTTCTCCTTTGATTACCAATCGCAGCAAAGTTTCCTGCAACCCAAATAACACAACTAGCTTAGTATATTATGTGAAAGACGGTAGGGAAACAAAACGGAAACCAACGAAAAAAAGCCTGTTTACCTTTTTTTCTTACAAACCATCAACTTACTAAGAAAGAAGCTGCGGAAAAAATATGATTAACCAGAGTTTATTCTTGTAACTGATGTTTTCAGTTACGTGTACTCTCCCGAAAGAGGCAAACATGTCTGTTTTTGATTATTTTGAAAGCAAAAATTTTAAAACCAAGCACTTACAGTTTCGTGCCTGATCGCCTGCTCGCAGATCCTCAGACGCTCGCTCGTTCCCTACCTCGCGCTCTAGCTCGTGAAGACTCGCATCTTCGCTCATCTCAGTAAAGCCACTGGAATGGGAAAGTTTAATGACGTCAGCTGCCAAGCAGAGACAGCGTTATTCCAATAAACCCCGGCAGCCTGATACCAATTTAAAGGGATAAGACAGAAAAATGCAACAGAGGGAAATCTGCCCCGTTATATGTGTATAACACACACAGTTACAGGCAGAGTACTGCATGCAAAAACCCAAAAATGCATTTGCTGTGAAGGCGAAAAATCATATTTTCCCCGCCCCATGTACCGTTTGTAAGCATTTGTCTGACTGTCTGAATGTCTGTCTTTGAGAGGTATTATGTTGAAATGTATTTTGTAAGGTTACTGGACAACAAACATTTCCCCCGGGACACCAGTAAAGTTATATTTCGTCTTGCATTAGTAATCACTTAATATTACCTGGTGATAATCCAGAAATGTAAGTAGGATCTAGTAAAAAAAAAAAAAACCCTGCATTCGTTTAACACTGAAAAAATAATGCAAACTGCATTCACTGCTCTTCGAGGATTGACTAGCTGGAAATTGGCAGACTTTACATTTTAAAGGCGTTCCCAGAAATAAAAATACCATGGAACACCAGAAGTTTTCTAAAGTTCTTTGTGTGTGGGAGGGAAGCCGAGGGCTGGATTTTCTGCAGAATTTGTTCTGGAAAAATTGGGATTGAGTAACAGCATGAGAACTTTTCCACCCTAAATGCATTATTTTGAGCACACAATACATGTAGACTCTTTAAATATAAATTTACAAATTTAAATAATTTGCTACCAATGAACAACCAAAACTTATTTCTTTATAAAAATCATATCTTAAGACTCATTTATATCCTAAATAAATGATCAGTTGTTGATTTCATATCCTCAGCTCACTTGCTCTCAGTTAAATGTGATTATGATTTGACTCATACTAAGTATTAATGAGACAAAAGTACTTCCTTTAGACTGCCTAAGTTCTTTGTTTTCTATCAACATGTTCTAAGTACTACTATTCCTTACCACCTTCCATTGGAGGAACTAAAAAACATCCAAGACACAGAAAGTTATTGCTCATGGAATTTTCCAATCCATCTCAGCAGTTTTACACGAGAAGCCTTTTAAATTTAATGGACTCTTGCTAATGAAAATGCCAGTTCTTAGCTACAAAAAAACAATGCATTCCCAAAAAAATATACAGAACAGCCAATATATGATCGTAATTTGGAATATTAGTTGTTTTTATTTGCCTTCCAGAAGAAACAACATAGAGGTAGTGCATTTGTTCTATATATATATATGCTTATTATTACAATGGTGTCATTGACTCTATGGGCATCACCGCCATTAAAACTGAGGGGGACGTGTCCCCCTGACGTTTCATAATTATTCGTTTGAACCCCCCCACATTTAACATAAAATATTAGTTCACCCAGCGCTGTGTCCCCCCCACATTCAAAATGCTTCTGATTCCCCTGATGGACTCATAAACAGAAGCTTTTATACACTGAAAAATATCTGCCGTATATTTTATGTGATTTAAAGAGCATATATTTATTTATTTATTTTCAGATTAAGTGCCCATACTGAAGTATACGACAGCAGTGCTAGGAACCTTTTCGTCAACAAAGCCTGAAGTCCAATTTTCAGCTACCTAACAGCAGAGATGGGAACAAGTCATTCTCTGGTGAGTCCAAGTCAAATCTCGAGTCGAATTATTGCAGTCCAAGTGAAGTCTTGAGTCATTTGCCCTGAAATCCAAATGAAGTCCAAGTCTTTTCGTCATTTTTGCTGTCAAGTCACAAGTCATCAAATTTGTAATTCGAGTCGAAGTTCAGTTGTGAGTCATGTAACTTGAATCCCTACCTATGTCAGTTCTTTTACCTTTACTTGCTGCAGCAAAAATTTGCCACAGTGCCTCATAGGAGTCAAAGTCTCAAGTATTTACCCGCAAGTCCAAGTTGAGTCCATATCTTTCCCTTACTTTTGCCAAGTCGAGTCACAAGTACATGACTCGAGTCCCCTCATCTGCCAAGCAGCTGTATTTCTACAGCTTTAAAAGTGAAATGTAAGGATTAGCTTCCCGGTTGTTAGCAGGAGTGTAAGAATCTCTTGGGATGAATACACTTTTAAATCAATATAGACAGATATGTCAATTTGGGATGCAATCTCGATTTAAAACATACTGCAGACATAATTCCTAATCCAGTACAATGTCACAGTAAGCCTGGAGCCCATCCCAGGAAACACAAAGCAGGGGATGCCATGGATGAGATGCCAGTTCATCACAGGATAAAAACTGACATCCTCCGGGCAATTTAGTCAATTTGTCTAACCACACATTTTTGAACTCCTGGAGGAAACTGAAGAACCAGGAGGGAAGTCTGTGCAAAAACAGGGTGAAAACATGCAAACTCCACACACACAGAGCCAAGGAGAACCAGGAGGGAAGCCTGTACAGAAAAATGGCGAGGAGAGAACATGCAAATTCCACACACAAAGCGCGAAGGAGAAACAGGAGGGAAGACTGTGCAGAAATAGGGCGAGAACATGCAAATTCCACACACAAAGAGCGAAGGAGAACCATGGGAAAGCCTGTGCAGAAACAGGGCGAGAACATGCAAATCCACACACAAAGAGCAAAGGAGAACCATAGGGAAGCCTGTGCAGAAACAGGGCGAGAACATGCAAATTCCATACACACTGAGCCAAGGAGAACCATAGGGAAGCCTGTACAAAAACAGGATGAAAACATGCAAATTCCACACGCAGAAAGTCAAGGCCAAGAATCATGCAATAAAGCCTGAAGGCATTAATGCCACGCCCTGCAGTGTTTTTACCCATGTGTAGATTCTTACGAGTCTCACCTTTGTCATACCTCTCGTTTCAGCCCTCATGTGCCTCACTGCAGCTGCCCCTCGTCTGCTCCCTTGTTAATGATGTATAAAGTGCCTCCCAATCTTGAGCTCCCCAGTCCAGTCATTGATGCTGTACCTGCTTGTGCTCCTGATAGGGTCTAGTGCTGTCTCATCTTGCCCACTCCTTGTCTCCCCATTTTCACCCCCTGTGGTCCTTTTGAGTTTGCCGTTTGTGTTGAATATATTCAGTAAACTTCCTTTTGAGTGTCCTGACACCTATCTTCACCTCTGTCTTTGCCTGTGACTTGACAATTAAGTGATATAAAAATGCTTTTTTAAAATGTTCAGTTTATGCATTTCTGTTAAAATTTTTCAATGACCTCTTTGTCTCACGCAAGATGAGGAACCTTTAATCATTATTTTTCCATTTGGGTAAATATAATTGATTTTCCTATTTTTTAATTTTTATGCATATTATTCAGAAAACAATATCCTTCATGCTTGCTGAAGAAGTATATAGTCTTCAAGGACCATTACTGTTGCAAAAAATAGGAACTATATGTGTTTGTGTGTGTGTGTGTGTGTGTGTGTGTATATATATATATACAGTATATATATATAAATCCTCCTGAGACCCGACCTATTCATTTATGTCCATTGTAGTGGACATTGTATTTTTGCATTTATTTTTTCACTGACGTTGGGAAACATATTTATTCTTGTTGTGCACTAAAGAGGACATGCTGTGAAATTAAAATAAGAATACATTTGAAAAAATCTAAATTGTAAGATGTTTTATTTCCTCCAAAGACAAATAACCTACAATTGAAGGACACTTTTTCCTTGGGTCTCAGGAGGATATACACACACACATGCAGACACACACACACATTCCATTCTAAATCCATAAGCATCAATATGGAGTTGGTCTGCCAATATATAACAGCTGCCACTCTTCTGGGAAAGCATTCCACAAGATTTTGGAGTGTCTCTGTGGAAATTTTTGCCTATTCAGCCAGAAGAGCATTTGTGAAGTCAGGCACTGATGTTGGATATAAAGACCTGGCTCGCAATCTCTGTTGTAGTTTGTCCCAAAAGTGTTTGATGGGGTTGAGGTCAGGGCTCTGTGCAGGCTAGTCAAGTTGTTCCACACCAAACCTCTACAACCATGCTATTATGGACCTTGCTTTGTGTACTGGGGTACAGTCATGCTGGAACAGAAAAGGGCCTTCCCCAAACTGTTCCAACAAAATTGGAAGCATGGTATTGTCCAAAATGTCTTGGTATGCTGAAGCATTAAGAGTTGCCTTCACTGGAACCAAGGGGTCTAGCCCAACCCCTGAAAAACCACCCCCTACCATTATCCCTCCTAAACCAAACCTTACAGGTGGCACGATGCAGTCAGGTAGGTATCATTCTCCTGGCATCTGCCAAAGCTAGACTCGTGCATTAGAGATGTGTGACAAACCATGTTTCCACTGCTCCAGAGTCCAGTGGCAGCATGCCTCACACCACTCCATCTGACACTTGGCATTGCACTTGGCTTGCATGCAGTTGTTCTGCCATGGAAGCCCATTCCATGAAGCTTGCGGTACACATATCTTGTGCTGGGGTTAATGCCAGAGGAAGTTCAGAACTCTGCAGTTACTGAGTCTACAGAGCATTGGCATCTTACTCACTATGAGCCTCAGCACACGGCGATCCCGCTCTGTGACTTTACATGGTCAGCCATGGCTGAGTTTCTGTTGTCCCTAAATGCTTCCACTTTGCAATAACACCAATTACACTTGGCCGTGGAATATCTAGCAGGGAAGAAATTTCACAAACTCCACACACAGTATTCCAATACTTTTTGTCTATATACAGTGTCTGTGTGTGTGTGTGTGTGTGTGTCACATTATGGGAATTCTGGATGTGTAGACTGTAAATGTTTATTAACAGGATTGCCAGCATATTCTATGAGGCCACTTAAGATAATTCATAATGCAGCAGCATATCTAGTATTCAATCAACTAAAATGTATTCATGTTACACCTCTCCTTGCCTCCCTGACATTGGTTTCCTGTGGGTATTTGCATCAAGTTCATGTCATCAGTGCTTGTCTTCATCACTGTTAATGGACCGGTATCTACCTACATCGAGACATGTTTCCTCAAAGGAAAGGTGAAATGAGCTACCCAGATATATTTGGTCTGCAGAGTCCCTCACAAACTACATGAAACATCTTTATACTCATTTCTTTTGGGAATACCATACCTGGCTTCATCAAATCACTGACCCTTCCTGGCTCACTGTGGTCATTGATTGTTATGTGGAAATGGTATCACTTGGCACTACTGGATGCTCTCTTCTTTTATTTTGCATGCAGACTTAGTTCCTGTTAGGTTCTCTTGGTGTTCTGATTTGAATGTTTTGCCTGGCTCGTGTTCCAGTGCTAACTTACACTTGTCACTGTGCACTTGTACCTAAGCTGACTCCTTGACAGGTATATATTTGTGATAAATCAACTGCCACACATATATGTCACTTTGGATGAAAGTGTACTGTACGTGTAAATAAATATGAATGATGAAAATATGTAACCATTATTCTGTTGTTATACATATTTGCATGTAACCCTTTTCCCCTTGCTGTTTTTGT